GGGCCCCTCTTTTGAAATACAAGCCAAAAAATAAAACACAAAGCATAATATATTATGAAAACAAACTACATTGTATTTCCTTGAAGCCTGAACTTTGTCCTCAGGCCGCATGGACACATCGGGCATCCGATTCTACGTGACGTCACAACTCCGCCCCCAGGAAGCGGGCATCATGGAGCTAGGTCTGGAGTACACCAACAAGATGGCGATACCTCCTGGACAACGCCGCTTCCAGCTGACGGGCTACTGTGTGCATGACTGTACCAGACTTGTGAGGACTGGAGATAGAATCTGTCACATGTTGTTGTGCTTGTTGTTTGTTTGGTGTAGTTCTTTTTGTGTGTGGGCCGGGGCGGGTTTTTTGTGTGTGTTTGGAGGGGGGGGAGGGGTGCTGTCATATTATATTATTGTTGCTGTTGTTGCTTTGGATGATGACGACGGTGATGTTGTTGTTTGTTGTTGTTGTCTGTTGTTGTTGTTTTTATTGTTGTATATGATGATTGTGGTGGTTTAATGTTTTTGTAAAGGAATGATCAGACTCTCAATTAACCGATCTATCCTTGACTACTATTCAAGATAGGTGGTGATTTTTTTTTTCTCCAAATGCAAGACAAATGGACACGCTTTTTTCTTCCATCGGTGTGAGGCTCCAAGTAGTTAGTTCAGGATATAGATCAAGAACGCCTTATTCAGAACTGCTATTAGTGAATCTGCAACAACAGCGCCACATTCCCAGTGCACAACAGCAAGGGGAAAAAAGTCAGAACCTCTCAGTCATTCAACATGACACTCCTACCCTCACACTCTCAATTTTACAAACAGTACAGTTTCTGGAAGATCATAACGTGAATTATGTCATGGACTGGCCAGTGTACGTACTCAACATGTCTTCAACTGCGCACATATGGGATGAATTGAACATCGAAGCGCGAGCAAGAGGCCGTTTTGCGAATCTAGCTCCGGTTGGAGGTCACGCTGCCACGAAAGTGGGTTATAATTTTTCAACAAAACATTCAAAATGTTATATAATCCACGTGAAGACGTGTCTTGGTTTTGTATACTGTGCGTGAGAGAGCTTTATTAAGTTTCGATTTGTGCTTATCTGCAAAATTTGTCTACAGGGGGTACGCCGAAAGAAGGAAGACAATGTATCGACATCATTTGAAGTATGTGATGAAAATGGTTCACATTTGTCCGGAAACGAATGAACTTCAGAAAATGCTTCTTTTAATCTATCTTCATTTGATACAAACATGTACAGAGTCTGCGAACAAAGTGTCGCATTTTTTGTGAGTATATACAATATAATTTATATATAATATACATACATACATATATATTTCTTGATATGAACGTTGTGGTATGTACACAGGGTCTCCCTCCTGGCGGTATACGTGTGTTCGCCTCCCAGCTGCACACTCACCTGACTGGACGCCGTGTCGTCACACGCCACGTGAGGAGAGGACGGGAACTGCGTGTGCTCAACGAGGATAAACATTACAGCCAGCACTTTCAGGAGATACGGCGTCTTCAACCACCGGTGGCTGTGTATCCTGTGAGTTTGTTAGACAGTAGTTTTAGTGGATCGCTCTACGAAAGGATGATTTATTTGTTGAGTTTTAGACGGAGTTTTTACTGTTACAAGGGGAGAGAGAGAGAGAGAGAGAGAGAGAGAGAGAGAGAGAGAGAGAGAAGGAGAGAGAGAGATTAAGTGACATAAATAGGTTTGCTTATCACAAAGGTTTCTTCTATTTTCCAGGGTGATGATCTGCTGACTACGTGTGAGTATGACACGACGTCAAGGCCTAACGTTACTGTGGTGAGTACAAAGCCATCGATGGTTTATACAGGGTGGGGAGTGGCGGGGTTAGGTATCTTTGTCGTCATTCTCTAAAAGCAAAAGGTCACATATGTAGGAATTTAGCCGTCCTTATTCAGACGTGTTCGTCTCTGAGACGAGTTCCCATTGTGCCTGTGAAGATTTGGAAGCTTTGCGAGACCGAAAGTAATACTATCTTTGTACAATGCTTAGCGTCTAAGAGTAAATTCGTTGTTCCTTTCTCTCCTGAAAAATTCCTTTCAGCGTGCTATATAACACCTTCAGAGAATGACACTAATGGTATTTTAGAGTGAGACGAGAGACTTAGCACTAAACCCCTGTCGTAATCATATCAAAACGCGCACACTTACTTTGTGTTTGTAAGCTGCAATTAACATTTTTACTTTTACACCCTCACCGACACATTGCCACCTCAGAATTGCAAGGTTCTATGTGACATTTTGCCCGCTTTGAGTTACTAAGATCATGAGGTCAGAAACCAACTGATGTATCTCTATCAAAATCGTAAGATTATTCAGAGTTGTTGTTAAGATCTTCAATGAACTACATTTGTGAAAGCTTGCAATATTGTAAAACTCAAAAACGTTGACGTCAAATTTATCAAAACTAGGTATTGAGACGATAGAACTTTGTTAATCTAGGGTTGTGACATGTCCATGTTTTGGCCTGTTCGCCTCACTAAAAGCGGTTACACTGATGCTAAAATCTTCTTAATCGAGCTGACTGTTCCATACGAAAGTAGGATAGATGCACAGCATCAATTCAAGTTGGCAAAATACGAACATCTCTCGCATCAACTCCAAGTAGAGGTCCATAGCTCCAAGGTCAATCCAGTAGAAGTGGATGCACGAAGATTGGTCGCAGCCTCAACATTCCCACTGCTGGGGCTTGTAGGCCTCACAGGCAGGAAATGAAAGGCAGCCCTTAAGAACATTCCAGAAATGGCAGAAAAAAGTTCTAGCTGGCTGTGGACGAGACGGAATCAGAGCTGGGCCAAATAGAACAGACAGCAGATAGGGAGTTCCCGAAAGTTAAGTAGATTTATATAGCTTAGCATTTGCTATTTCCGCTAGAGCCTCCGTGGCATTGCACGAACACGCATAGAATGAAGACCCGGATACTTACTTACTTGTCCACGCAGTCGGAATATGTCCATCTCTGCTCCCCCCCCCCCTCTTCAGGATCCATCCCAGAGTCTGTCTGAAGACCCAGATATACCCCATAAACTCGAGGGTTCGATCCCCGATCAGGTCTAAGAAAACGAAAAACAATTTTAAAAAGCAGGAGAGCTCTTAGGAGTCATGGCCTGAGTGTGGCCCGCCCCCTTAAAGTGTCAGGAAGTTAGGGCCGGAACACTTGCTTGAAGAAGGGGGTTCTTCCTCTGAGGACGTCCTGCTGTCCGCTCGCCCCACAAGTTTTCTCCCACTTATTATCACCCTTACGTGATACGTCCAATGAGCTTAGTTTGAAAGAAACCTGATCTAATATGGATTTCCAAACTTGTGCAAGAGATTTTAATTTTATGAATGCTATTTCTATTCTACGTACTTGTACTCTCGGTCTTCGTTTTGGTCCACCGTCTGTCTAAACATAACAGACCACGTTAAAATGCTCTTAAACTTAAAGGGTTTCTCATATCCATGTGGGTTAAAACTGTCACAGTAACCCTCC